GCGGACGAAATTTTCACCTAAGGCGCTAAAATGACGAGTTACCCCCTAGGAGACCATAAAAAAATGGCGACTTTTTTGGACTTGTTTTTTTTCTCCCACGCAACCCTTTTGTGCATGGTCCTTTAACGGCCCCCACTGAAGTCCAACGATGGAGGTGGAGGTTTTTCTGGGGTCAAATGGGGTATCGCGGATCCAAAAAGTTCTGGTACGTTTTTGTAGCAGTTGTGGTCGAGGCCAAACATTTATATCAATGAGTCAGTCAGTGAGTCAGTGAGTGGGAGCGCAGTTGTATAGTATTGTTTGATTGATTGATTGATTGATTGATTGATGATTGATGATTGATGATTGATGATGATGATTGATGATTGATGATGATGATTAATAAAACTGATATGCTTATATGTATATTTAAGATTTCCCTACCACTGATTTTCCAATGATACACTGCTTCTCGCTTACATAACTTTTGCTACATTTCAAACAAATACACAAGAGAAATTTTCAACATAATAAATGCTGCACGATCCCTGAGGCTATAACTGCATATTTTCTTCCAGATCGTGCCCCTTATAAGTCACTTAAGGTATTCACTACAACTCATATATGTAAAATGGTACATTACATTGACGCAGACATACTGCAATATTTAAAAAGCGTACCCTCTGCATTAAATGTAAACAAAAAGGTTTCACAATACAGTACTTACAAAGTTTAGTAATCTAATAAATATGATAGTACAGAACAACATCAGTCATCAGTGTCCGATTCAGAACTAGAATCAGCAACGACACGCCTCACTCTCAAGCCATGGCGAACAGCAGCAGTCACACTCCAAGAAGTACGATAGAGGAATTGCCCAGGACTAATATCTCCATTTTCAAGAAGAGTTGTGCTTCTTCTGATGGCTCTATCCATGTACATGGTTCTCCAGCTCCTCTTGCGGTTGACAGTGTATACAGTGGGATTCTGTGTAGCAGCTACATCACACATGGCTAGGTACTCCAACTTCACAAAGCCTCCTAGAAATTATAACATATGCAAAACTTGATTGGTTTCTTTTAATTCAAGACTGATAATTAAGGATTACTTACTGACTAAACTCCAGATATTTGGGTGGTTCTTCGGCAGCACAGTAGCTAGGGAGTGGTTGTCGGACTCTGAACAGTTGTTAGTTCTTTCTGGACAGTTATAACAGGATAGTTCAATGCGACGTGGGAGCCATTCTCTCTGAAAGTAATCAAACAGGGGCCCAAGATTCTGGTCCCATCCATTTTCAACAATATCTTGCCAAATCTCAAGCACACCATCCCACATAAGATTACTTGGGAGCAGAGGGACAGCGCACAAGCATCTCACAGCTTCCCATACATTTTCTTCTTCTACAGCAAGTGTTTTCAGTCCTAACTCTCTAGCTGTAGAACTGACTGCCTAAAAAATGAAAAATTATCAATACAGTTACACACAAATTAACTAGTCAATAACTAAAAATGTTGCTTACAACGCCATAGTGCCAAAGGCATCCAACAATTAAACTCTGTGGGAAGACTGCAGCCAAAGAATTCATAATTCCTCGTTCAAAATCACAATGGATTCGGTCAGGCTTTAGCAGTGGGCACAGAGTCTTAATATAAGAGAACAGTGTCAGATATGCAGCTTCACTCTTCGATTGCATAAGGACTCTTACCATCCCAATAATCTAAACAGAATCAGGAGGAAAACACATACATGTAACAATTACCTTGACACATTAAAAAAGAAAATTTGTCATGTCTGAAACTATCACTTCGAACAATAGTTGTAGGTTTACCATAACCATTAACATGAAGTGAAGTTGTAAAATTATAAGCACTACATTGAGCAAGAATATGCTGACTTAATTTGTAAGTTGTAATTGAAAATATAAATTGTTAATCTTAATTGATATTTTACACAGAGATTCTGTGAGCCCTCACCGTTCCTCCAAAATTTGTGACTATGTTGAGCATCTGCCTCATTCTAGGCTTACGACTACATTTCTTAAATGTTGCATTAACATGCAAATTTTTGCGTGTTTGCAAGAAACGTAACATTCGAGCAGAGACAAAAATCACACAAACGGTCCCATGTTCAGGATCTCCAATAACCGCACGGAAAATTATGTCTCTGTTATCCATGGTTCTGGAAACGCCCCGAAGATTTGGTAGACCCAACAAAATACCAAGATGCAGAAGAGTATTGGGTATACGCGGAAATGCTTCACTACGAGCTCTATACAAGGGAGCGTGCATTCGTGCAATCGTAAATCTTGCAGCAAGATGAGGATTAGCACACCTGGCAGTAATAAATGTAATTTAGACACACAGGAATATGAAACAAACTACCCCGACCCAATCCCCAGAAAACAGACATACCTTAACTTGAAACCATTCAAAATTACTCGTGAAGAATCGCCAGAGACAGTATTGCGGGCATATTCCATGATTTGCCGCCTCATTTCCAAGTCTTCTGGAAGTAAGGGATCAGGAGGATGAGTGTGAGGCTGACATGATGAAAATTCTCCGGTATGAACACATACTGAAGCAGAACCATTGCAGTTCAGCCTGTACTGTCTGCATTTGAGGAGAAGCCGAGAAGGTCGGGCTTCACGGAGCAAGTAGTAATACCCATCTCCACAGTGGAAAATATGCGAACCACGCGATCGGCCAGCTATAACGGCGAGCATGCTTTTTATAATCTGGAAGATAAGACTCGTACACAGTTATCGATAAAAAAATATACTATGACAATTAATACAACATAAAATAAAGCAATACCTAACATAAAATCCATAAAATCCAGCAATATCTAAAATTACGTCCTCAGCCTGATGAAGTATGAAGAGGTTAAGTGAGAGTTGGGGCACAGTACAGCCGAGTACTCACAGTACAGCATTAACACAGCTGAAAGAGATCTATTTCTTGTGAAAATTGATTGGCTGCAAAGAAACATTCAGTGACGTTAAAACGTAGTAAGAGTAGTAAGACATCTACACGCAGGATCGTGCACATGAGCATACCTATGTAGCACTTGTCAAAAAAGTTTGGAGCATTAAGCCCCCTTTCCTCGATTTACAAAAAAAAAATAATCGAACATCGATTTTTCCCATAGCCCTGTATAACTTGTCCACCAAGATGGCCGCAAACAAATAAAGGCCCGACTTCCCAAAGCCTCTGTTCACGAAAACTTGTTGAAAGGTTGAGAGGATAGAGGGGTTGAGCTGTGGCCGGCGAAGAAGAAGAAAGGAAGAAGTTGTTACAAGCAAGATGGCCGCCCTGATGGGAGTATATCTATATATACCGTCTTGCTTGTAACATTTCTTCTTTTCTTCTTCTTCGCCGGCCACAGCTCAACCCCTCTACACATGTGCCGTACTTTTTATTATGTTCTAGAAACACCAAGCATTATTTTAACGGAAAGTTTGCAAACTTCTTCGGCCCTCCAATCAATGAAAAGTCATTTAAAAGAACGCCGAGCAACAGAGCTGCTCCGCACTAGAGATAGGAGGAAACTCATGTGCAAATAATACGTCGACTTGATCAAAACGGTGGTGATATTCGGATAGCTTGTAAACTTTGTCGTGTAATAGGGCTGAACATACCTCACAGTAACCTACAGGTGCGTTGTAATAAAATATCTTCCAACTCTGCTCTTTCCGTCGTCTGCCGGATCGCGAGGATCGCGAGCGTCTGCTTAAGTATGGAAAATCTGTTTGTGCACAGTCAATGTTGTTCAGCTGCGAGTATAAACAAGGAGAAACACCGTGATTCCGGTCTGGAAAAGATGCGTTATATTTCCTAGTATTACTTAGGCAACTGATCACCTTGAGTGAAATTTGTATTTTACTTGATTTGTCTTTATGCTCGATATTGCTCATATCTTTATTCATAATATCGCCAAATCCATCTGCAGCTGGCTAGTTTTCAGTATCTTGGCTTTTGTTGTCCAATTGGGACAAAAGATTCTGACTACTGATTCCAGTGTGTGTCCTATTTTTCCCTTTGAGTTACGAATTCTTCACCTTTTATTTTTATCATGATACTTTTTTAGAACTTTAAGGTTAAAGTGCCCACTGTCTGGCAATGTACTTTCACATTTTCTTGTGATTGTTATTAGTTTTGGCATTTTGCTTTGGTTTAAGAAAATAAACATTAATTCCAGTTTCTTACTATCCTTTTCCAGATTGCCTTGCAATAACAACAGTGAATATGAGTGATGAACTATTTGAAGAGTCTGTGGGCAGAAGAGTGGATCCGCACTTGCAGACGGCTGAAAGTGATGGTTCCCCAGTGGCATCAAGTGGTGGCAGTAGTGCAGAGAGCGAAAAGTCATTAGAACCTTCGCCTGCTTCATTAGCCGATGACAAAGGACCATTCCTTCGTAACATCTGCAAGAAGATTCTGAAAGGCAAAAGAGGCTGTAAGAGTCACTTTTTTTGCACGAGACTGCAGGTGAGTTAATTGTTTTCACACAATTTCATAGTGTGACATTATGATGTGACATTAGCCTTAAATTTATTTTTGTTGAAATGTTTCAGAAGTTTATAACCGAAAACCAGACGCATCAGATATTTTGGAAAGTGTACGCCACTGCATTGAGATGATATGCGCTGAAATGATTCTTGAACCTGAAATTACTGACGGCAAGAAGATACTGATTAAGGATTTAAAATATATAGCATTGGTCTCTCTACATTGGCTCTCCGTGCAGAAGAAAATTACTGAGCCCACATCTGTCTTATCAGGGAGAAGGTATTACCATCAAATCAGTATGAAGAAGATTTACTTGCTGTTAACAAGCTCCTAAATGATACAGAATCATTTCTGACTTTACTGCCTAAATTCAATTTTTGTGCTTAGATGATAATAGTACAGCCATTCATATGTTTAGAATTTTGAGTAGACTATGTGAAGTGATTCAGTATTTGTTTTGCAAGAAATTAGGTCCACCAAAAGCCAATCTACTAAATATACTGAATCATTTTCTGATACTGAAGAGGAGGTGGCATTTGAACTTGACATGTCAAATTTGTTTAGAACTTATTTAAGGAAAGCAACTACCTTAGCAACACCTGTTTGGGAAGCAAGAAACCTTTGCATGAGAAGAACTTTTGTGGTGGGAGATAATGATGATAAAATAGTGAAATAGTGACATCACCTATGATTCTTCAGAAATCATCTTGGGAAGACTAGACAACTAAATTAAGTGACCCGTCAAAAGATCTGTTGAAAGAATTGAAACTTGGTATCAGATCAATAAGAAAAAAAACTACTATTTTGACAACGGACTATGTTTTAGGAATTTAGATTAATACTCCAAATGGTATGAGGGAGAATTTAAAAAGAAATTAAAATAATATCAAACAGAGTGCAAACTAAATGTGTATTTTTATTTCCACTAACTCTCTGACAATGCTTCAATGGTTTGGTTCTGCATACGGACTTAGGAATGTTTTTGCACACATCTTTCACGTGTCAATTATAATATCCACTCTTAGGGTAAGGAAAACATAAGATAAAAGTACAGGGTTTCTGCTAAGCTCTCCTGTTTGAAAAAAAAGGAATATGTTAAAATAAACTAGATAAGGATCCCTCACAGTTGCATTGGAATTTACAAATTATAAACTTACATCAGAAGGTACATTTATTGTTAGTGAACTCTCCATGTCATGATCCTCAAACAAAAGATATGGGTCCTCTTCTATCTGAAAATACAGAAATAACAAAAGGTCTTATTATGAACACAATTAAAATTTGCAAAGTGTTCACAAACATAAATATACTGGTAAAATTGTTACTTAATATATAGTGTATAACTTAGTAGTTTCTTCTTCTTTTTCTATGGACTCCTCAATGACTGGTTGGAACTCATCTTGTAAGGAAGCATTTATGTTTTAAATGCTGTCTAAAACAGTACTTTTATAAATATCCTCCATAACAATCTGTTCCTGTTTAAAAAAAAGTTGGTTTGCTTTTTCAGTTTCAAAATTTTGTACAAATAAGTCGTGGGGACTTCAAATAGTACACCATCAGCATTGAAGGCTGTGAGGTAATTACATCACCACACTGCTGGATTGCCTCTTGTACAGCAATAATTTGTGGAGGATCATTGACTGCTACTTCTTCCACAAGAATTTCCTCAAACATTAACAGACTGTGCAGGTTGCTCTTGGTAGTCTTGGGAATTTTCATGTTGGTGCTGTACGTAGAATGAAATAAATTACCTAGTTTATTTCCAAAGTATACAGAGACTGAAATAAGATCATAAAGTATGCAACACATACGTACATTTCAACTTACCATTTCTGGCGTTGTGCTGTCCTTCTTTTTGCCTTTGAATATGCCGCTAACCCCTCCCTTAGCCTGGCCTCTCTTCTTCCTATTCAACTCATTTAGTCAACAAAAAGATGAGGTGAAAAAAAGGCAACAAATAGCTGAAAAAATGTTTTTTATAATGAGGTAATTACTCGACTTACCTGGAGATTTGTGGCTAGCAATATGGCTTGCACGTCCACTTTGGGAATTTAAAACTCTCCCGCATATCTCATAAAGGAGAGAAGTCGTATTCCTCTCTGCATCACTCATTAGCAAAATATGAATCCAAGGGATCCTGCAAGAAGATAATGAGAAAGAGACATTAATATATATATTCTTATACCTCAAGTGGACACAAAAACAGCAATCACAACAAATGTAAGAGCACATTGCAAGCCATTGGGTACTTAAACCTACAACTCAAAAACATTAGTTTCATAATTTATAATTGAACATAAAATCAGTGTAAGGTGAAGTATTCCTTAAGCAAATAAGGAACGAAGGGGGGAAATAGAGTACTTTTGGACCACTTTTGCACAACAAGCAAGACACTGAAAAGTTGACGCCAGGTATGTTATGAATTAACTTGTAAGCAAAAACAGATGCCAAGGGAATTAAATATACATTAACCTTAAAACTGATCGGTGATCGAAAAGCACAAGAAATGCGTAGTAAAACCAATCTTTAATCTGATGTGTTCAGTGGTGTTCACGTTCCGATCAGCTCAGAGGACCACAACAGGAATGTGCACAGACAGTTTTTTCATACTTTAGCAGACGCGCGCGAGCCGGCAGACGACGGCGAGAGCAGAGTTGGAAGATATTTTAGTAACAACGCATCTGTAGGTTACTGTGAGGTGAGTTTAGACCTATAACACGTCAAATTTTACGAGCTAACCGAAGGGGCCATCCATTAAGTACGTCCGAGCTCAAGGGGGAGGGGGGAGTCTCTCAAAAAGGGACGTCGTTGGACGTGGGGGGAGGGGGGGCATGCGGGCAGTCCGGACGTCCGATTTTCATATTAGGATACGGGGAAATTTGGGTTAAGTTGCGCTGCGGTTTGTATTCCAGCTTTTACCAATGTGACTTTTTTGTGTTTATTAAATTCTTTGGAACCACCCTAAAAACTTGACATTTTCTCAATGGCTATAATAACTAACGAAAAGGCACATTTTTAAAAATTAGGGGTATAAT